TTCAGGTTAAACCCTACATACAAGTCATAAGATTCAGGCTTTCTCTAAGGAAAGATCTCTACATTCATCATGTTTCATGAATGCATCAAGACCTATTTCTCTGGGACTGAACCCTTAGGGCAGACACCTTCCCCTCACTTCCTCAGGCCTCTTAGTCTCTGAGACGTCTCTGGGGCCCCCAGTTGATTACTGCACTTTAGCCTCCTCACTCATGTCACTTCACATGCCCCTTGCTTCCTGACACAAGGTTTCCTTTCTCCTCTGGGGAAAGTATCTCTGGATTACTTGGTGGGCATGGTGTACATACAATTGTCCTGTGGGATAATTAACACCCTGTGGAGGGAGACACACCATTTAGAGATGAAAGGTAACAGTAAGCTATTAAGTTCTTCACATTATTATTTTTTTAGAGAATGGCAAGGAGTAAGAAAAAGAGGGAGAGAAACATCAGTGTGAGAGAGAAACGTTGATTAGTTACCTCTTGTACATGCCCCAGATCGGGACAGAACCTACACACCAGGCACCTGCCCAGACTGGAAATTGAACGAGTACCTTCTGCTTTGCGGGACAGAGCACTGAGCCAATTGTGCCACACCAGCCAGGGCTTAAGCTTTCTTCCTTTACTTGTACTGGTAGTATCTGCCTTAGGTTCATGCTGCTCATAGCCTCTCATAAGGGCATCCTATGAGGTAGGGCAGTTCGCTGTTTCTACCATGAAACAGTGAGCAGCCTCAGCAAGTTGCCCTTGAACCTGCTTTCCCTACTCTTCTGGCACTCCACTTTTTCCTCATTCACAATTAATTGTTGGTACATGAGCTTTCATTCAGGTTTTATTTGGGGAGAACCAGGGTCAGTGAAACCACCGACCCTGCCAAAAGCTAGTGGTAGAGAGAACCAGCCTGAGATGTAAGGGCACTCTCTGCCAATATGAGAGGGTAAAAATTCTGTTTCTCGGGTCCCAATGAAGTGTAAGGGGAAAAGGAAGACAGGTAAGAAAGGCAGGTGGTCAGATGCATGTACACGCTGTGTTTCCTGCTGTGGTCTGAAAGGACAGAGATGGTCGGTTAGATCTGACAAGAATGAACCTGAAAAGCATATGAGTATTTCTCTACATCTCCCATTAGTGCCTGTGGAGACCCATGTGCAGGTCAAGCGCATAAAACATCACAGCCGGAGAGCAAGGAGAGACAAGTGCTGCAGAACTAAGTTGTCTAGACAGACACATGTGAGGCAGCTCTCCTGGCTCCATGCTGCCTCCATAGTCTCTGGAAGGAAATCAGACGATTCTGCATGTCCCCAGTAGCGGTGCTGGTTGAAAATATTGGAGAAGTAGGGTGACCACTTCCACAGGGAATTACCATGGTGCCTGGAAATAACCTGGGACCCGAGGGAATCAGGGTGGTCCAGTGACGCCTGAAATCAAAAGGAAAGGGCTGGACAAATTTCCCAGAGGTTCACAGCACCAGGGAAGGCATGAGTAATATGGGAATGACACACCAAGGACATCTAACTGACATGGCTCAATACACAAGAAAACAACTTCCCACAGCCCAGTGCTCCAGAGTCAGAGACAAAACAGGTCCTGGGACACTTCCTGACAGGCCAGATCTCAGCAGGTCACAGCTGCCCTCACCAAGGAACTCAAGTCCACAGAGAGACTGATGCAAGGACATGCATCACATGCCGTGGGTAAGAGGCTCTTTCAACCAGGCAAGCAAGACTCAGAGACCTTCAACGAAAACGTCTACAAAGTCACGTAGTCCTGACACACATACAGAGCTTCATTTTCCCCACTCCCAAAATCAAGGCTGCTAATTAAGAATTAAGGTAATGATAATAGAATAAATGCATTTCTGATTGTTGGTTCAACTATTTAGAAGAAAAGCAAAATACACTTGTGACCCAGTAGCATACTTACGTATACAATATGTTAGAGCAATGCCAATCTCTCTACATATAGATGGCCTCTAAACCCACCAGTCAGTAGGTAGAAATTTCATTTACAATTGACCATGAAAAATGAAGGAATTAGGGGAACCCACCTATATGCAGATGCTAGGGGAGTTGACCCCCCATGAATTCAAAAATATGAGACTTCCTAAAAACACAATTACTAACAGCCCAATGTTGACCTTCGGCTTACCCATGACATAGTCAAAGAATACCCAGAAGGAGAGAAGACAAACACCTGGAAGTATCTTCTGGAGGGCGGGCCCCTTGTGGTACAGGTCTCCCCCACCGGGTCAGTGTTCTAGGAAGTCATCTGTATCAGGGTAGCAGCTGGCATGGTTGTGAGAGGCTGCATTCAGCTGCTCTGAATTTTTTTCAGAGACTATTTCCACATATTTGCCCATTACGTGATGGCTGATTTCCCAGTGCACCAGCCCATGCAACACTGAGTGTTCAACTGTTTTTGACCCACCCTCATTATTCACCCAATCTTGCCCCAAGTGAGGTTTTACTTCTATCCCTGGATGAAAAAGTCCTCAAATGGTAATGTTTTCCTGATGTGGAAAAGGTTAATAAACAAAACAGACAGAAGCACTAAAAGGAATAAAAATCGTTGAGCTCAAAATTTTGAGCACTGCCAAAAAGTGTCTCACTAAGTGCACTGCATCAAATAGAGAGTACTTTGTACGTGATGATGTTTAAGCGCATAAGAATAAGTGCACAATTTTTATCAATGAATTTCAGGGTTTTGAGGGTCACTTTCATATTTATATGTACTATACACTGTACTCTTACAATAAAGTAAGCAGTAGACAACTGTAAAGAAAATCATGAGGAAGACAAAATGCATTTACAGTATTTATTTTAAAATCTGCATAAAAGTGAACCCATGCAGTTCTAGTCTGCATTGTTCAAGGTCAGCTGTATGTACTCATCACTGTCTCACCCACGTCCAGCTCAGTGTGAGGAAAAGTGTAAATGCTGAGTTAACGGTAATAGTCATGATACCCAGAGCCTATCAGATGTTCAAGCCAAAGCAGTTCCAAGTCCAGGACATTCATGACCCAGAATCTCCCTGAGTACGTCTTCAACACAAATGATCACATATGGTCACCATAGCATGTACATAATAACATCCATGGACTGATTCTGTGTTACAGCCAGAACTGGAGACAACCAGACATGTACCACCAGAAATATCATCCATGAACTGTGATAGATTTGTAGAATATAATGAAACAAAACAGTTACATTAGTGAAATAGTCTACCTATAGCGACTGAATGTCACAAACAGTACTGAGTCAGAAAATATTGGAGAAGTAGGGTGACCACTTCCACCACTTTGGGTACAGACATATACAGATATAAATTTTTACAATTATGAATTATGTTTATCCATGTACTTTTAAATATTATTTCTTTAGAGAACAGAGATTGCTAGGAAAGACTCTGGGACTCACTTCATACATTAGTTGAAATCTTGGCATTTTGCATCACATAAGGGCTACACATTGTATTATCCCTGCTTTCTCTCGTATAAGAGCAAATTTCATTTTAAATTGTGTCTTTTTTTAGCCATACTTCACATTTTTTAAAAATGATAAATGTATTAGGCTATGATGTTAATAATTACAATTTACTGATCTCTTATTAAAACTCATGAATTCTGCTAAACATTTCGTGCATAGTGTTTCCTCTCTACAAACCTGTGAACTTATTAATGAACTTATATTATACATAATAAATGTAAATTCCAAATAATTTAAGTATAATGTATCACTTTGTTCATCTAGGAACGAGATGAACTTGGTAAAAATCCCAGCTTTATCTAAACTCAAAATCATTGATTTCAACCTCTTTTTTCTTTTCGGTAATAAAGTCTATGTACATAGCAGACTTCCTTCTAAAAAGAATGCTTTGTAGGAAAGAAATTCTTACCTTTTCCTGTTTAAAACTATTCACACACATACACACACACATTATTTTAAACGTAAACATATCTCTTGTCCCATTGTATATGTTCAGGTTGAATTTCATATCTAATTTGAAAATAGTTTTCAAAAATTCTCTTCATACATCATTTCCCACCACCTCTTCACTGTGTTCTATCACTTCATAATTGTGTTGGATTTCATGTTTGACTAATATGGTTATTTAACTCACCTCATAGCTCTTAAAGAGCAAATTATTACTGATAATTTATAATCCCACATCATTGATAAAACAGTCATCACAGCAATTACACAGTATGCTCTGATTTGTGAGAATATTCTAAATTTTCGTCATTCCCCATAGGAGACAAGTGACCAAACCAATGAGGGAAAATGCTAATTCTGCCAAGGACTCTCAGCTACATCCATTCTGCCTTCTTCCTCTCGTCCCCACCATCCCGGATCTCCACCTACACTGCAAAGGCAAGAAATACAGTGGCAGAGAAAGTTCCAATGTGTCTGTGTTTCAGCCTGACATCCTTCAGGGTTCTCTCCTTGCTAGTTCCATCAGAGTTACACCCTTAATCCTCTTTCCCTTGAAGTCCTGGCTCCTGCTCTTCCTAATTTAAGTTCTTGATGCCTCAGAAAACATCACTGTCATAATCATATGCAGGAAAATAACCAAATATTTAAAATGTAGACCAATTTTTTAAATGACAGTTGCCAAATTTAAAATATTTTAATAATAACTATGTAATCAGTCTCAACTCCTATATTTTAAATACTTTGCCAATACACTGGATTCTACAATAAAATTTTGTCTACAAGTCCTGATAATGGAATACAGAAGTTTATTTCATCTATTCAGATTATCCGTCATGATCATATCCCAAGTGCATGCAACACGCAGAGAACTTGAAGAAGGGCTCATTTCCTTGTGCAGCATCCTCAGAGGGAGGGACAAGAATGGGCTTTCTCCACAGGTAGTAACAGGAGAACATAAAGAACATACAAAGGATGCCGTAGGCCTAGAGCATCTTTCAGTATCCTCTGTATGTCTCAGGTGAGGTGACTTCTCAGATTGCTGTAAGCTCAGTTACTTTTTAACTGTAAGGCTCTCAGGAAGGTCTCTCCTTTTCCAGCCTCCTTCTAAGAGCAGCTTTGACTTCTCTGTTCCTCAGACTGTAAATCAGGGGATTTAGCATGGGATTGAAAAGGCTATGAAACAGAAGCATGTATTTCTTTTTCTCCTGGGGGTCCCCATGTTGGGGTCCAACATACATGATAATGGCTGTGCCATAAAAGAGCCCCACCACACAGAGGTGGGATGAACAGGTGGAGAAAGCTTTCCGGCGCCCCTTTGCTGACTGGAACTTCAGGGCTGCCCACACTATGTGACTGTAGGAGACCATAATTGTGAAAAGTGGTCCTACTAGCCCCAATGCTGCCACAGCAACAACCGAAACCTCATTGAAGTGTGTATCTGCACAGGCAAGTTTGAGAACAGCTAGAATTTCACAGAAAAAGTGATTCACTTTCTGGGGACCACAGAAGGGCAACAGTAAGAGTAACACCATATCTACTAGGGTTAGGAGGACTCCTATAGTCCAGGAAGCCACTGCCAGGGTGAGGCAGACTCTCCAGCTCATGATGGCAGAATACCGAAGGGGCAGGCAGATGGCCACATACCTGTCGTAGGACATCACCACCAGGAGAAGACATTCGGTGAGAGCAAAAGTCAAGGATAGAAAGGTCTGTGTCATGCAGCCAACAAAAGAGATGGGTTGGGATGGGCTCAGAAGGTTGACCAGCATCTGGGGCACCGTGTTGCAGGCATAGGCTATGTCAACAATGGTCAGGTTGGAGAGGAAGAAGTACATGGGGGTTTGCAGTCGGGAGTCCAGTGAGATGAGCCCCAGGATGACCCCGTTGCCCAGTAGGGTGAAGGCATAAAACAGGGAGAAGAGCCCAAACGGGACCAGCTGCATCTTTGGGCTGAGTGAGAATCCCACTAGGAAGAACTCTGTGACAGAAGTCTGGTTGCCCCCCATTGTCCTGGGAAAGAGACAAGGGAGAGAGCTCATCATGTCTGAGTTCCCGAGGGACATGTTTAACATGGTAGACCTGTGTGTGTCACCATTTCTTCCCTCAGAAAACATCTTCAGTGACACTTCTGTCCTGTTTGTCACTACTAAGCGAATCCTATGCACTGCAAATGACACAGAAAAAACTTTTTTTATCCTGATCAATTAAATTCTAGTGTTGTATTATTGTGTTCAGTAAATCTTAAGTTTATTTCCAAACTTCCAACACGGTTCAAAACACATTAACACACCTACTGCCTCGCTAACAGTGGACACTTTCCTCAGTCAGCAGTACTGCTTTGGGGTCCTGCCTGGGAGGTGTCCCGACCCCCGGTGCACACACAGCCACCATAAGGAGGGGGCTGTGGGCCTGAGCCTGTACCCAACCGTGAGGGTGGGGAAGACCAGGCGCCTGTGGGAGATCTTCCTATCGGAGGATCTCACAGATTTGTGCTTTTTCAATGACTTACTGGTTAGCTGTGTATTTTTACTGGCAGCGTCATCTTGAATTGAGTTGAGAGAATGGCAGGCAGACTGCCACCACTTTAGCTGGATTTAAAGGAGAGAACTATGTCTTTTGACTTTTGTACCCACAGATGTTCTACTCTGATCATGCTGTTTCATGGAAAGATATTACCCATGACACATTATCCTTATATGAATATTCATGCTCTATGTATGTTGTGTGGATCAAGTATATGGTATGTATACAGTAACATATTCATATATGGACACATATGCCCTTCAATCCTTATTGTCATATATGTATATCATGTGAATATCATGTGCATATAGGTATACATTATGTGAATATAATCCTTATTATATTCTTATCTGTATATATTTATATTCTATACCTGTACATTTGTGGAGAATTTATATGTTATGTGTATAGGTACACACACATACAGAAACATGCACTTGATTCCCTATTATGTACAAAACTAGTTGCTATTTTCTATATTATTTTCTACTCTACTTCACTAGTAAAATGCTGGTTGAAAGATTTCTTGATGGGTCTTGGCCTGGGATTTAAAACTACTGATCAATATCCAAGGAAAGAGCTTAAGCTCTAACTATATACTCATACCATTACAACCTTCGACATATTTCACAGCTTAACTCTAACAGGAAAATGATAAATTTTATTGATAAATTTCATGATAAATATTATTTATCATGAACCTTTACTTTCTGTGGTTTATCAATCTTTAGAAAAGTACTTCTACCAGGGTTGGAATTCGAAGGTTTGACTTGTAATCATTAAACCACTGCTTCTGTTTCCTTGTCTGTCGGACTCCATATCCTTCTTCAGCCCAGCACCCATCTTAATTTCACTAAAATAAGAATCTCACAAAAACCCATAATTTCAGTCCCATATCGATTCTCCATTCAAATTTTTGCATAAGTTAATATTTGCAATTTTTGATAAGCAAAAGTGTGAAGGCTTCATCCTGCTTCAAAGGAAGAATCAGAATTCACAGCAGAAACCTTCGAAGATGATTTTATCTTAGTTCGAGAAATAAAGCCACAACAGTTGGATCACCTTCATGAAGAAAGCTGGTTGTTTTAGTAGGACCGAGCTTTAAGTCAGTGAATGCTTTAACTCAGAGGTTTGGATTCCCATGTTATGGGAGAAGGCAAGCAAGAAAAATGCTCAGATCTCTTCCAACTACAGGATTCACTGGCCCTAAATGTATAGAAAAGTGTTAGCCCTTTTTGTTTCAGGTTTGTTGCCACATTTGGGGTGAAATAAGACAGCAAAGGTATTTCTAAAATGTCCTATGATGGTCACAATAACCTAAGGCAGGACCAGTGACTGTCATGTCATCTTCCTCCTCTCTGCTGCAGTAGCTAAAACACAAAACAAAGACCCACAGACATTTACTGAACATGTTCCATGTTCATTCACACGACTGGGCTGAGGACAGAGAAGACAACTCCTATCTGCTGGGGTACAGAACCTGCTTCGAGTGACAGGACTGTTAAAAGGACTCAAAAGATGATAATTCTCATCTTCAAATAATGCACCAAGTGAAAGTTCACTTCCAAAAATACAACTTTCAAGACACTCTTCTGTATCAAACTCCTTTTGTGGTCAAATTGGTTCATTATGTCATGAAAACATGACTGAGTTTCATGGCACAATGGAAATACTTCCAAGCAACTCTCTCAAACAGCTAATGTATCTTATCATTTAAACAAGGAATTCTACACTAAATGATCAACCTCAGGTGTCTCTAAATGACCTGGTGACTGAAATTATCCCATTAGCTAAGTCTATAAACAGCACCACATGGCATTGACAGACAATAACAATTCTGTTCTGAGATTTTTTATCACAGCCTGTCTGAATTTGAATAGTGAACAAAGACTGGACAACATATGGAACTTACCACAGACTTACAGCTACATATGAGAAGACCAGTAGAATGTGACTGGGGTTAAGCAAAAATACACTAATAAAGAGAATAGTATCTGTGAGTTAGTGTTGAAATTGCTGTCTCATCAGGCTCTCTTAGGAGAAAGGGTGCCTGACAAGAAGAGATGATTGATTCTCTGCTCCACTCCACCACCTCTCAATATACTTCTGAGTGTTTGGTGTAGGGAGGGATAGAGAGCCACCAGGGACACTGCCATCAGCTCCCTTCCAGGGGAAAGGGGCTCTCCAGGGACTAATCTCTGGCGTTCTCCACAGGGACATTGTGGAAAGATGGTGGTGTTGTGACTCCTTCACTCACTGTGGCGTGCATATTCATCCATGTAGAAACTCTAGAATAATTTCTGGGACTCCTTCATACATTACAATGACCACACCTTGCATTCATTATGGCTCAAGAACTCAATTTCCCCACCTACTAACCCTCCAGATAGAGTAGGTGCTACACAGAGCAGCTTGGGCCCAGAGGTTTTTCCCATCCTCTAGCCTAGGCTGAGTTTTATCGCACACCTGACCTCAACATGTATCCTCTGTATTTTTTCATCAAGTCACCACAAGGAACACAACTCAAAAGTAAAACCAGAAACCAGAGACCAGGTAGCAGGACCTGTACAAGGGGCCAGGACAAGGGGAAGGCATCCCAAGGGGACTTGTTAAATCCTGTTTGGTAGGATTTCACTGCAGTGCCAAAAGGGAAGGAAACTCTCAACAGGAAACAATCTCTATCTTATCACCTCCAGAGACTCTGAGTCAAGGGGGAAAGAGACAGGTTTCCCCTCAGACTCTGACTACTACTGTTGCCTCTCCTTCCTGAAATGGAAACTGACCCCCTTTTTGAGTTCTGGCCAATGCAACTGAGACAATTTGGTGGTGCCTTGGTGATTTACATTTTTCTTTTCTTCTCTTATCTACCTCTATCCTTACACTGGATTACAAAGGTGGTGGAAGATCATTTCCCAAAGTTATTTCAGTGTACATGCCGACCTATAAGGAAACAATAGAGGGACTATTTCAACTGCCAGAGCATCACCTGCAGTAGGTCTGAGATGGGCTTTCCACCCTTAAACCTGTCCAGTGAGAGGCTCATTGGTGACGGGAGTCCAGACACTATCCTCACATACTGCAGAGATACGGTGCCCTCATACTGATACTGTCATTTTTAAATTTCTATTTATTGGTCATATAAATTTTTGTTCCTGACATTATTTCATACATACCATTCCCCCTTTTTTTTTCCTCCTCTGTTGAATCTATTATACTGGCATTTGTAAAAAGACCTAGGTTTATATTTTAATGGTCTTCATTATTTTTTTATTTTTTGGCAATAAAATTTGCTCTTATATAAACTATATTATAACTGTATCTTCATCCTTTATTATGGTATCCTCCTGAGTTAAATATTTTACCTTTTAAGTTTATCTTGATTTGCTACTAAATGTAATTTACACTCTAAACTTGCTATTTATTGACCACTTTGGCTGCGCATCTCAAGACTGATATTCAGAATTTTCACCATTAACATCATCAGAAAAATACAAATTATGTAGAAGTACACTTTTAGGTTTCAAATATTTTTATTATCTTTATTATTTATTTTTAATTTATAATCCCTGCTGTGTAAAATAATGAATCCTTGGGGTATTGATTTTTGAAAAATCTGAGGGCTTTTATTGCTTTGTATATAGTCAATTTTGCAATTTTTATATTAATTTCCATGTAACATATTCTCTATTTCTCAGGCATAGGATTCTTTTCTTTTAATTTATTTTTTAAAATTGATTATGCTGTTACAGTTGTTCTATTCCCCCTTCATTCCCCTCCTGCCCCCCCCATCCCCACCATTACCCCCCTTTAGTTTATGTCCATGTGTCTCAAGTCCTTTAGGTTCTATATTTCCCATGCTATTCTTGCCCCGCCCCATCTATTTTCTATCTACTGTCTTTGCTACTTATTTTCTCTACCTTCTCCCCCCTTCTCCTCCTCCCACTCCCCTGTTGCTAACCCGCCTTGAGATCTTCATTTCTATGTTTCCACTCCTGATCTAGCTGTCCTTTTAGTTTGCTTTCATTTTAGGTGTGGTTGTTAATAACTGTGAGCTTGTTGTTCTTTCACTGTTCATGTTTCTTTAACTTCTTTTTCTTAGATAAGTCCCTTTAACATTTCATATAATAAGGGCTTGGTGATGATGAACTCCTTGAATTTGATCTTATCTGAGAAGCACCTTATCTGTCCTTCCATTCTAAATGAAAGTTTTGCTGGATAGAGCAATCTTGGTTGTATGTCTTTAGATTTCATGACTTGGAATATTTCTTTCCAGCCCCTTCTTGCCTGTAAGGTCTCTTTTGAGAAATCTGCTGACAGTCTGATGGGGACTCCTTTGTAGGTGATTGTCCCCTTAGCTCTTGCTGCTTCTAGGATTCTCTCCTTCATTTTAATTTTGGCTAATGTAATTATGATATGCCTTGGTGTGTTTCTTCTTGAGTCCAACTTTTTTGGTACTCTCTGAGCTTCTTGGATTTCTTGGAAGTCTATTTCCTTTGCCAGATTGGGGAAATTTTCTTTTATTATTTGTTCAAATAAGTTTTCCACTGGTGGTTGTGTCTTTCCCCCTTATGGTACCCCTATAATTCGGATATTGGAGCGTTTAAAGATGTCCTGGAGGTTCCTAAGACTCTCCTCATTTCTTTGAATTCTTGCTCCTTGACTCTTTTCTGTTTGGCCATTATTCGCTTTCTTCTGGCCCACTCCATTGATTTGAGTCCCAGTTTCCTTTTCATCTCTATGGGTTTCCTGTGGAATTCCATTAATTTCCCTTAGTTTAGCCTTCATATGTTTCTCTAATTTGTGGCTATAATCAACCAGATCTGTTAGGAACCTGATGACCAGTGTTTTAAAATGTGCGTCTGATAGTTTTGCTATTTCTTCGTCGCTTAGATTTATCTCTGGCGCTTTGAGGTCTTCCTGGGACATTTTTGGTCTGTTCTGGCCCTTTAAATGTGAGAAGCGGTGCCTTGGACTCCCAGGTCGCTGGGTTGTGACGCTGTATGTGGGGGCGTTGTCAGAGCGGGGAAATGGCGGCGCCCTCTACTGCCTCAAGCCACGGGGACCAACGGGCCTGGTCCAAGCGCCCACTCCCTCGCCTGTCTGCTCGCCCACAGATAGGCAACCGCAGTCAACACGCAGCACCGCCTCCCCACTGTCTCCTTAGCAGTCGCTCACCTGGTGGGTTGCTCGGTGGCTCACTAGGTCCAATCCTGGGTTTGGAACCCGTGCGTCTGGATTCGCGCATCTGGATTCCGCGCCTGGGTCCCTCAGACCGGAGTCCTGTGCAACCCCTCACGAGACGCCGGTTTCGCCCCTTACCGGTCGGGCTGAAGAATTTCTTGTTACCGGACTTCCGAAAAGTTCAATTTTCCGTGTTCTGGTTGTGTTTTCTGATGCTCATATTTAGTTGTCCCTAAACTTGGTGTGAGAAGGCACGGCACATCCACCTATACCTCCATCTTGGCGGAAGTCCAGGCATAGGATTCTTTATATATTTATTAGGGAAAGCTTCTTAATCTTGTTATCAGAGCTTGGATATCACATTTTTCAGTGTTATCAATTTGTTTCTGAAGGCATTTTACTCAATTCCCCACTATAAAGTAAGATTTACAAATCTTTTCAATAGACTTCTCTGGTGATTTTTCCATTTTGTGACTATGTTGTCACAGCTATACATATTAATGACTGTTACACCTTCTTTGTAGGCTATTACCTTTATTATTATCTCGTATCTCTTATTATACCAATTCTTTTTGCCTTATATAGATGTAAATATAAATATCCGTCTCTTATTCTATTATTGAATCACCTAATTATATATTTGCAGAGGATATGTTCTTCATTGCCACTACCCCAGCCTGTGTTTTGGATTGTGTTTTTGTTGCTCTTATCAACTTTATATAGCTGTATTTCATGGGTTAAAAAAAAATCAATGTGAAAATAAGAGTATCTAATCTATTTGTATTTAATTTAAATATTGAGACATTTAGACCTCTTATCACTTGGGTTTTCTGGATAGCATCCTTTCCTTGGCTTTTATGCTTCTTTCCTCTGACAGCTTTATAGACAAAGGCTATTGTGCACTGTCTGGCCTGGCTCCCCCTTAACTTTACCTCTGATGTTTTGCCCTTCGCTGGAGACCAAACTTCTGAATTTCTTGGGTATTTTCACTCAGGGTACAAGTATACACATGCATTCAGCACAATAACAGGATCATTATGAAAAGCACCAGGTAACTTTAGAAATATTTTATACTAGTGTTCTGTCCTTCCATTCTCATTCCTGCTCACACGTTTTTGATTGCAATCATTTGTGTTAAGTGTCTTAATTTCAGAGTGTTTTCTCACTTCTCTGTGAATCAGATGGGATAAAACAGGGAACAGAAATGGTGCTGGTGTGGTGCGATATTAGACACACTTTCATACAACACAATGGTTACAAGGATACTGAGGAACTATAACACTAAACACAGAGCTCTGGGATGAACAAACAGAACTTTGTGAAGTTACCATCCCTAGGGTTCAAGGACACACAGCAGAAGGTGGGTGCCTAGAATCCAGAAGGTCAGAGGAGATGTGGTTCAGGCTTGACCCTATGAAGAGAAGAGGTGCCCCAACTGCACTGTGGACCCAGCAGGAAATGCTGAGCCCGGCTCTGGGAAGCTGAGTAACTAAGGCTGGGCAGGGGGCCTTCACTGCCACTACCAAGAGCTGTTGGGCAAGGCTGACAAGAACAACAGGCAGACAGGAAGGAGCAAGGTCCTTTTCCCTGCTCCAGGCCCCCAGTCTGTTCAGAGCTCCCTACCTACACAACATCAGAAATTGGAAGCCACTAAAAGAAGTAACCTGCCCTGGCTGGTGTGGCTCAGTAGGTTGGAGTGTAGCCCTATAAATTGAAAGTCTGGGGGTTCGGTTCCTGGTCAGGGCCCATACAGAGCT